ATTAGCATTGTTCTTCCGATGTCTGATTTCTTTTTAATTATAAGAAATGCGTTTTTCTAAGGTACATATACTTTTGGGATTGACTGTATAGCCAATATATCCTTAAGCGGTTTCTGATTCGGGAAAATCTGTCGGAGTCCGTACTTCCTCTCACCACATAATCAATGAGTCCTTCGTCCCGTGGCGCCCAAAGATTGGGGCTAAATGGCAGCCGGCCAAACTTTTAGCAGTTCTAAGGTCAACAGTATCAATTCTACCGTGTGTATCTTCACATAAGGACGACATACATATGTATGCACATACGTTTCGCGCTCTTAAAGCTCGTTCAGTTAAGATCAGGTCCAGGAATAAGCGTCGATCGAACGGTTATGAATAAATTGATATCCGATTCTCGCGTTACGTTTCATATTTATAAAACCAGGCAACGATTTTCCATACGAAACCGCAAGGGATACACGTGTTATCGCGTAAATTTTATTTCACAGTTCCACGTTTCTGTTATTTTTTAATTCATTTTGTTCTTTGCAATAATTCCAGCCATTAGACGGAAGCTACGTGCTATAAATAAATAAATGTGAATATAAATAAATAAATAAATAAATAAATAAATAAATAATAATCACGCAGATGAAATTCTTCACTTAAATGGTACTATATTTGATTTATGAAGAAATGTACGTTTCGTTACAGAACAATGATGTCGAACATGCCGATAGTCTTCGTACTCTTCTCGCTCTCTTGGGTAGTGGGCATGGTAATCTTCACCAATTACGCGGACTGCGATCCGCTCACGTTGGGTTACATCTCGAAATTCGACGAAATCGTGCCGTTCTATGTGGAAGACAAGTTCCTGAGTTACCCCGGCCTGCTGGGCTTAGTAATGGCCACCCTGTTCAACAGCGCGTTGACCTTGGCCGTGTCGAACCTGAATTCTCTGGCGACCGTCACCTTCGAGGACTTCCTCGGTCAGATACCGCTGATGAGAGATCTGAAAGACAGTCAGCAGCTATTCATTATCAGAATGATCAGCGTTATCTATGGAGTGATAATAATAGGCGTGAGCTTCGTCGTAGCGATGCTATCGGGCGTGATAGAATCATCACTGCTGATGACGTCCGCGACTTCGGGTCCCCTTCTCGGCGTCTTTCTGTTAGCCTTGCTGGTACCATGTGCGAATTGGAAAGGTGCCGCAGCTGGGATGATCTTCAGCCACGTGACGACTATGTGGATGACTTTCGGTTACCTAACAAAGAGCAACACTGTGGAAGTGTTACCATTGTCCACGGAGGGTTGCCGGAACGACACGTTCTCTCCGTGGATCACGAAACCGGGCATCGTAGAGTTCGTCGTGCCGAATGTCACCAGCGATCAGAACTTCGTTAACGCAACCGCGGGAACGTCGACCGCGGGTCCCCTAGAGTTTCTCTACAGCATCACGTACATGTACTACGCGTTCATAGGAAGCATGTCGACCGTGATCGTCGGTATCATCGTCAGCCTGTTGACGGCCGACCCGAAGGGCGACATGTACGAGGAGCATCTGCTTCATCCGTTCGCGGTGAAACTCTCGCGGTATTTCCCGGGTAGACAGAGACTGTACGCGAGCAGCACGCGGCTGCAAGCCGAGCAGGACATGGCCAACGCTACCTCCTCGTCGTCGATGACCTCGATTGCGAACGGCGGCATGCAGAAGAACGGCACTCTGCAGGGGATCGTCGACGATTACGGGAAATTTCACATCGCCGACAACTACAGGGAGAAGCTGAACGCTTTGAAGAACGTCTCGCTGGACGTGACGAACGAGGTCAGCAAAGGAACCCGGCTCTGAGAACCGGAGGGGAGGTCCCGACCTCTCTTAATCCTGTGCTCGACTACGTTTGAGAGCGAACCGGAATGGCTTACGGCGTTCCCTTGGCGCACAACTGGGAATCGAAGTTGACGAGCCTACAGGGTGAGCGATCGTCTTTTCTAGTTCCTCCGTTTGAATCTTGGAGAATTTTTTTCGATAGTTTACCTACGTACGTAGTTGTTTAGTTACCTAATATTTTCGTCGAGCGTTCCGTAGAATCGCGACACAGTTACGCTTTGTACAGCCGGGTAGTAACGCGATTTTACACGGTAGAAGTTAGTACAAAGAACCGAAGTTGTCGGGAATTAATCAAGTTATAGTAAATGAAATTTTCAATAATAGTTACAGAGTAACGAATATTGAAACTCGACGAGAGTGATCGGCGTCGCGCCGATAGGTTTTCCCTCCATGTTCTCCCGACACACGAGCCCGCATCGGTAGCTTGCAGGCTACAAACGGTGGCATTTATCGGTTGCACGCGAAACTGCGTCTACCTGCTGACTCGATTTTCCCCATACGCGCTTACACTCGCTTTTTTCGTTGACGAGCGACGAGAGAGTGATGTCACTCTCCCGCTCCGATCGACGAACTTATGAACGCCGAACATTTCGAGTTCGCAGATTTTCGTCGACAATATACTTATCGACTACGTATTATTATTTCCTTTTTGTGAATTTGCCATAAAGACACTTGTACGTTATACGTATACACGCGTATACATATAATACTCATTGTTTACTAAGGGAAGGTGCGAATCCCCCGGGACGAGTTAAGGGGCTATACCAGTACGACAGCCCAATTTTGTTTTAAGAAAAGTATTCCATCGAATGTCAATAAAATTATTACTAAAAATTATAATTAAATTATTATTATAATAATTAATATACTACCCGGTAAGTGTTTTTATTTAAGGATTCATACAACCTTAATAAGAACGACAGGACAATTCTTCTGATGCTAATCTATCCTGTAAAGCGACAGTCGTACCACGGGCTGTAAAACTATAATCCAATTGATTCGCTTATATTCGCAATACTTCATCTACTGTAATTCCAAATTCTTAGGGATTTACAACCTACATGTAATATAGGATTATATTTTCTCTACACGACGAGAAAAATGATTCGTTATCGACGAAGGAAGACGTAATATAGATTCGCGTTTGAATAGGACTGCCTCTGCCGTTAACGTTCGTAACGAAAGTATTGAATCGTGATATGATTTGCGAGGAATCAAGCGGATGTTAATACGTCCATTGCACGAGGTTCAGATTCTTAAGGTCAGAGTTCCGTGCGACGGCTGAATGAATCACTATGCAAATGAAACGAACGAGGCGTTCGCGTTGACTTCCGATTCACGAGAACTCGCGATTCTAAAATACTGCGCGAAACTCTGACTCTGCGAATATTAATTAAGTTTTATATAGATTACGCGTTATTTTTGTAACGATATACTATATGTATACATATACATATGAGAGATGATTGTACGAGTAGCGCACCGAATGGATCTGTACGAGACAACTGTGAATATTTATTTTATTCTCCTTTTTTGCATACAATAAATATATCACGTTTTGTAAGTGTTCTGTTGAAAACCGACTTCTATTTCATTTTTTAGTTTCACCTGAACCGATCCTTTCCTTTATAACTCAGCGTACTTTATCTTCGTTTAACAATGAAGAAAATCTATAAGAAGAGCCTGTATGCATTAAACAGCATGTTCATTAATCAAACACTCAGAACGTAATCGTGTTTGCTATCGACGACACCGTTCAAGGAACTTTCGACAATTTATCAAGGTTTGCCGCATCGCGTCTCATTATCAGGCCGGGATTAAAAATCGGCTTCGCGTTCATCGATCAAGAGAATCAATTTAGGCGAATTTATATTAACGTGAACGATAACATTAAACGAGTTTATCGTTTAGCTTGTCGGGAGGTTTGAGGTCCTGAGGAAGATCTATTGATCGCTTCAAATAAACGCTGTGCATCTGCGTAGGAAAATTGCTCGAAAGGAATGACGTAGAACGTAGAGTATGAATTTTATTTGAAAACAAGGATAGGATCAGAACATAAATATCCCTTAACTTAACGTACAAAATTGCATGAGAGGAAATTGAAATTTGAGACGTACGGTACGTTTTATGTAATCCTGTATCGATATCCGATGTGAAGCGGGTAGCAGAGGCGATCGATAGATAGTCGCTTTTCTTTCCTAGATGTTTTCGTAGTTTCGGAGCTGTGCTTCGACGTCTCCTTCGACGATTCTTCGATCGCGACCCTTCAGACGAGGCTCAAGGGTTGACAGAAAGTGAACGTACGATTCCGCGAGGCAGAGACACGAGTTTTCTTAAAAAACGTTCCTGTCACAGTGTGCGTCATGGCAGTGGAATCGAGGTAAGCCGAAGACCATAAAACATAGCATTTACATTTCCTCAGACTTCCTCTCTTTTATCTATTAAAATGAGAATAGTAGTCCTCATTTATCGTGCATCGTAATACTTATGTCAGCAATGAACGTTTCTAATGACTCAACTTTGATACCGGATGAGTGAGAGTCAGGTTTTCTCTACGTGAATACTCTCGTGTTTCTGGAGACGTTCTCCTCGGCCGAGTTAACAATAAATCCGGATTCGGACCGGATAAACTTCTCTGGAAACCTTCGCGATTCGATTCTTCGGCTCGTTGCCGTTTTAGTGTCTCTTGGTCCGTGGAATTGCGTTCTTTGATTGCTAATTGGCCGCTCCCGAAGAACAAGTCTCATTGACAAAAGTTCTGAACAGGAACTCAGTTCGAGTTATGAAGACACCGAGCTCGACACTTAACGTGTTCTTGGATAATCATACAAATGAGAGATCGTTAAACCTCGCGGAAAAACGGGTTTGACGAAACTTCGGAATTCGAAGAAGCGAGCATAAAGTGTGACGCGGTCTTACATTCGTCCGCCACTCGCGGGTGATAAACGCGAAGCTTGTTGAAGATTGATAACGAAAACTGAAACGCGTCCTCCAATCTCGGGGGATCGTGGTATCTCAGACGCACCGCGAGAATCAGAATCGGTAGAAACTTTACCGCGAACAGGGGCGCGTGGGATTCGAAAATTCTTCGCGGGGCAACTCCCGGTGCCGGTGGAATCCCGGCGATGTAATACCGGTCGGGAACTAGTTCTCGAACTCATTCAACTTTTCGTTGAAAAGCGACGCGGCGCAAGTGTTTAACGTTTTTGAGGTAATTGAGATTTCGAGGAGAGGGCGGCCTCTCTCTCCCGTTGGAAAGAAGGGGGACGACGAGAAGGAGCCGGGTTCGAGAGGGCGGCCGATGGAAGTTGGTTCTCCGCGATATAAATCTCCGGTGGGAGGACGGTAGCTGTGGTCACTTGCGAGGGCAGGTGAGATTTGTGTGCCAGGAGATACGTATCGAATTGTCTAACTTCGGAGAGATATCGTTTCACCGCGAGAGGATTCTCTTTTCCTTTCAACTTCTAACGCGTCTCTATTGCGTCGATATTTCACTTAGACCCGCCCGTGCGAGGTTTATCGATTATACAACGGATGCGCTCTGATTCTACTGTCTACGGTGAAGGCGATTCGAAATCTGTCTCGAGTCTACCTGCACCGAGTGATAGGAAAAGTGTTGCTGCCGTTAGAAACGTAATTTCTATCGCCACCGCTAATGACGGGATATTCGTAGAGACGATATAGCCGGTAGAGGATCATCGATAGCTAACAAATGTAAACGGAAGCCGTGCCGTGTCGTTTCAGATGGATGCCGTGTCAGCTGAAAATCGAGCCGAACATCTGCAGCTGCGAGTACGACGGCATAATCCTGGTGTCGGGGTGCGCGCCGGGGTTCGACGAGCCGGAGCCGTTCAAAACGGTCCTGTTCTGCGCTGCCCAAATCGATTCCGCCCTGGGCGTGATCGGTGCGGTTTTGCCCATCAATTTGCCCGCGAAAAGGCTAATTTACAGTCCGACCGGCCCGCTTAACATGGATTACCACGACGTGCGTAGCTTTGCCGAGGCGGCCACCAAAGGGATTCAGAGGTGGTATCTAAAAAACAGCTATCCGATTACAGATTACCCTTTCAATCGTTTCAATCGTAACTCTAATTACCTGTAATATTGATCACGTTTGTTTGAATCAGACCTATTAGTTCGATTAATCACTCTTTAAAGTGGCGCGTGCTTCAGCTACGCGTGACGCGATCGGCTACGCGCGACTTGTTAATTACAGCTGCTGGCTGGAAAAAGGGTGCAACAAAGTTTATGTATACGGGGCGGGCCGCGGCGTAATTGCTTATTAATTGCGCGGCTTAATTGGCACGCTGCGCTGGATCGGAATGTAGGCTCATTAGACGGACTAGGATTACTCGTTTGTCGAATAACGAAGCACGATTTCGCGCCCGGAATCGGGCGACAAATCAGGTGGCTGACGACGAGTGCAGTGGAACATGAGACGCGCGAGCAAAATGATAGGCAAGATTCCATAATAAAGTTATAGTGTCGAAACTGTTCGATCTCCCATAAAATCACTCTCCTAAATCATCCTGTCCTTTTAGTATCGAACAAAGAGATATGCTTCTAAATTTAATCCGTAAAGGTGAAAGATAACGCTTTAACGTTCACTTCACTCTTTTCTTTTTATCATTCCATTTGATCGATGTTCTCCAAAAGGAGAGATAAATGAAAACTGATGAATATTTACGAGAACGTGCATGGAACAGTTAACTTAGAGCCGGCGTTCGCCCGGCTGAATGATTCATCAGACCTATCAGTTTTTAACAGTGAATCGACCGATGTCTACTTACGACGCCCGCACCCTTGATTCGCGGGTCTCTGCTTGCCTCTCGTCCGCTTAATAAATACGGAATGAGACGGAGACACGGGATTATAAATATTCATAGACGAGTATACTCGACGGTGCCCGTTTTTTCCACGTCCCGTCTTTTGCGGTTTTCGCTTTTAAAACGTCAAAGCTGGAATTAATAGCGAATGGTCATCGCTCATAGATCCGCTGAATAGCCACGAGATATGAGATCGTAAACAAGAACGTATAAATGATAAAAGAGCTACGACGAATGTAGCCAATCTGACAACTTGATGAAGATACCTAAGTCATAGATTACTTCCTCGAATTCAGCGCAATTAATCAACCGCGTGCATTAGATGCTAGACTTTCTTCGTGAAACCGCTAATGGTCTATTTTTCGCTCGCACGGAACGGAAATGATATCCCGTCGGTCGCGAAATTCCGTTGAAAAATGAAATTCCACCAGTCTCGAGGCCCGCGTCGTGGTGGATCCCGTGACGAACGCACTACGTCGCCGAACGAAGAGAAAAGAATTAATTTCGTCCGTTCCCCACGGATATCGATCGCGATCTAGTTTCTACGCGCGACACTGCGTCCGGCCGTTTAATTGAAACGGGCCGGGGAAAAAACAGTTTTGGGCAGGAAAATCACGCGCGGAAGGGATTACTCCCAGAGGGACAGAATGTCCCGCGAAATTGTTTCCCTCCGCTGTTTTTTCCCCCCGTTACCGTCGCTGCAAGGGAATAATTTTCTCTGTCGATTCGATTTCGTAACGAGGCCAGGCAGTTTGATAATTCCAGGGTTAATATTTGCGCGACGTGATTGATTTCGTCGACGAATTGACGGTTATTGAGATTGATCGTCGGTTTTACGTCGCGCAGCCGAGATTGACATCAGCGATGCTGTACGTCTCGTTGCAGCTAAACGAGGCCGATTAATATCATACTTCTTACATTCTCTTATCTTCGTTGCTAACTACGTATCTATTTTTTAATAGAGCGTTGAAAGCTGGGGTGAGGTGTCCGCTGTTCGCGCTTCTACCAGACATCCGCTTCGAGAATGTCGAGCTGGTTACGCTCCTCGGCGCTCTGGAAGGACTGTACGTCGTAAGTACCTAATAAAAATCTAACGAGATCATCGAAAGCTGCCTCACATCCTCAATTAAAAATCGATTAACGCGAATTCGAGTCTGTAACTCCTCCTCAGCCGTTCACCTTTCGATGTATACTGACGACACAGTATCGTCAGAGATGGGGTGAGGTTTGGGAGACAAATCGGACGCGAGTCCTAGAAGAAAATGGAGCAGTCGAAGATTAGTAACGTCAACGTCGCTGATAAACGCGCGGCGCTCAATTGTAGGCAACACGGCTGGTTAAAGCGTTTCCCAGATAGTCGGTCGAATTGTGGTCGCTGCCGCGCCATTTAAACCAATCAAACAGAGACAACGCACACAAACACGATCGGAGAGCTATAGCGCTCGGGCTACGTTCGTAGAATAGGGAAGCTCGATGGCCTGTGTTTGAAAGGAATTCAGCCCCCGTGTTTCGGTCCGGCTGCTCCCGCCGATCTGGCCCGATTGGCTGTTCGACTATATCGTTCGCTAAACCGACCTGGATCTACCGGGTACACCGGTACCAGCCGCCTCAGGCCAAACAGATCCGAAACCGACTGGCTATCCGACGTCTTAATCCATAACCGGCGACACCCAGGGTCCACTCGTCGATTCCCGCCTCGTCTTTCGGGCGAGCTTCAGCGAAACGGTAATACGTACTCGTCACACGAGCCGCACTCGGTTAGTTCACTTGATGAACGATCGATCCCGGTCCGAATAATTGAACGTTCTAGATTCCCTCTCTCCTTAATACCCTCGACGGTGGACGATAATTGCTCGCTGGAAAGCAATCTGGCTAAAAAGTTTGGTCCTCTGATTTATTTACAGCCAGCCGAACGACCTCGTTGCTCAGCCGGAAATCGATCGGATCGGTTCAAGGTCGCCGTTTAATAATTGATATTTCAATATTCCGGGGCAACTTTCGCCGCGCGTTGCATACGTGCTTTCGTCCTTTATATCTGTTATCGATCGGTGACCATTTTTCCCGCGGACCGTGGTTATCGGAGCGGGTAGAATTTAGCGAGCTCGTTTACGGTTCTACGAGATTTTGAGTAAACACAACGGCGGCGCGTGACAGGTATCAGCAGCGAAACGCGCGGTCAACAGAGCTATTAAACAACACCTGTCAACGGCAGCGGCGACGCGAGCAATGCGGCTGATGGATAAGTGTGTCTTACGAGCACCCCGTATCCACTGTTGTACCAATCCCCGTATTCGTCCCGTCGACGCTACGCAACGCCTTTCTGTCCGGCCACTCGCAACGTGTTCGCTGTGTTCCTCTATCTTCGATAAGAGAAATTCTTTACGTTGGACTTAAACGTTCAAAACGATGCTTCATAAGATTTTATCGAACAGTCTCTGACCCTCGAATTAGTTTCTAAATTTCTGTGCTTGACGATCGGAATTGCGATCGGAAACAGGCAACGTTGTCGGATAAGATTGACTGCTCGACACTGCGGAATTATCGATAACGCCACTCAGGGAGAAGATCAATTAGCGGGAGAACCTGATATCGTGGATATCAAGTCTGACGTATCACTCCATTGGCAATCAGAAATGAAACGTAACGAAGTTAAACGCGCGGGATGGATTTAACGCAGTGGCAGTACACTGTCATCGAGGGTCTCGGTTGACTGGTAACGATCCGTCTAAGTACTATCTCGAAAATTGCATTACGAAATCAAAAGCTGGCTTCTAACGAATTCCGAGCATAACGTTCAGGTGCGCGCTAGTTTCGTGCCTTAGAGATTCGCTTCTTATCAATAACTTGGCATCGAGCGGCGCGCGCTTCGAACACTGTTGCATGCGCACCGTGAGATCTTTCATCCCTTATTTCCGGGCCAGAACTCGTCTCCGGCGCGTGGTTCACCGTTGCAACTTTAACCAGACAATAGCGCCGCGTGCCTCGTCTTGCGAGGAGGTTGGATAACAGTATAAGACGACGCGAGGGGACCCGGAGGGTGGGCCGTCGGGGGTTCAAGGGGGAGGGGGCCGGGTCTTGCCAAGAATAGCGGATGCCTGGCGTTCCTAAATCCTGGCGGCCGGCGGGGCGACCTAATTAGCGAAATACTCGAGGCCCCCCGGCAGCTTCTCTGTGTTCTGAGCCATCGACGTGCAGCTCGTTCCTTCTTTCGTCGTCCCGCACTTCCTCCGTCGTTTAGACGGCCTCCCGGCGGGCCTCGCGAATGCGGGGCATCGTTTTCCGAATACCGGAAGACGCCCTCGGAATTCCGCCGCCGCGTAATCGGATCGCCGTTCTCCAGCGTCGCCTCTTCGTTTCGCCGCTTCCTCGAAGCTGGCTCCTTCCTGTGTCTCCCACTTCCTTCTCTCACTTTAGAGACGTTCCCCGAGACCTTTGCCCCTACGCGGGAGCATCTTTACTTCTCGCAGTCGCTTATTTTTGCATTTTCCTCTTTTTACTTTTCACACCGTACAGTGCGTTAAGCAAATAACCAGGGAGATCAGGTGTAGCATATCTTAACCTACAGCGTCAGAACTTACGTATCGGTACACTCTCAGTTTCTCGTAATTGCGAGAAACAGAGACGCGAGACAGTCCTGAGAAGGATTGGGATCGTCCCAGGTAATTTAGCTCCGCTTCGAATATTACGCGGGTTTCGGTGTTCGCCGAAATTCTCGGATGCTTCGATTGAAATTCCCAGGCTCTCTTAAGGATTCGGAATTCCCGACGTTATTGAATCGATATCGTTTCGAAGAGACCGTGAAGAAAATTCGGCCGGAGATACTTTCGTCAGACAGGTACTTCAAACGATCCGCCTCGCAACGAATTCACTCCCAATCGTAGGAGAATGCTTATGAAGGTAACTGGATTCCTTGAAACGTTGCCTTCGGTTCGAAAGCGTGCACGGAATTGAAATGCAATTCGAACGTCTAATTACGCGCAATTAACTCGATTTTTCGTTTCTCGCCAACTATTCGCCTATCTCCAAATAATAGCCACCGGCGGGGACAGACACGCGGCTCCGATACGAGCAGCGAATACATTAACGCGAAACTATGCCAGGCGCTCGAATAACGAAGACGAGAAACCATCTTCCATACTAAAATTCCTCTTATCTCTCTTATATACTCCCCCCGTCTAAAAGAAGATAGCACTCGAATGTAAAACCGAGGTAAAGGAACGGAGCGCCGCCGCCGCCGCCGCGACTTTTAAAGAATATATAAAAAGGAATAGGTCGTAGACGGTGTTTGTGCTAAACTATAAAGCTGCAGAGATTAATTCGAGACCCTTTCGAATGGAACATACGTCTTCTCGCGCGGGGTGTGATGACCGCTTATGAGGCGGCGCGGAATCCAGGGTAAGAGGATTATCTGCTTTAATATTTTCTGCGCCGTGGAACAAAGCCCGGGCAAGAAACTGCGTTAGAAATCCAGACTCGACCAGCGTGTCTATCCACGCCGCGGAAACTTGCTACCCACGACTCGTGAAATATTCCGCCGGTCCCTCCTACGGAGTCATGTCCCTCAGCTTTTTCCGTATCTTCATTCGCCCGACCGTTGACCCGGCCGTCCTGCTTTAGCGTCCTGGCACACTTGTCCATTTTAATAGAAGCTGAAAATGTCCTTCAGAATAAGAATATTAATAATAATAGAAATTTGATGGGTGGTGGAGTCCGTTTTATAGTCGTGAATCTCATTCTCAATCATTTCACGTAGCCGTTGGAGGTGCGAGAGACGTGCCCGGATCGGTGCTACAAGGCTTGTCAACTGGGCGTCTGGAGTCCGATTTGCAGTAAGAAGCTTCAGGGTATCGTGAAGCTGGCCTCGGCGCTCGAAAGCGGAAGATTCGTCGCGAGAGACATCGGTAAGTTGCTTCGTCGTGGAATATTTCCTGTTCTATCGAGCGGAATCTCTTGTCGCGTTCCACGCCCACCCGACGCAAATGAAAAGCGTAAACCTTCTCGCGTTTCGATGCACCCCGGGCGCAGATTCTATTCTGGCGTCGCATAATCGTAAATTCTAAAATGCGAATTTTTTTATTCGTATCATGTATAAATATTTTAATAAGTTTTCGACGAATGCCATCGTCATGGGAGAACGGGTTGTTTAATTGACTGGGACAGAGGGATGAACCGTTTCATTTGGCTCTGCGACCGAATTCCTCTTTCCCCATCGCGGCGAGTAGATTCGACGTTTTCTTCGCGTTCCTCGCGGCAGGGAGAATGTAAATTTCAGCCCGTTCTCTATGCACGTTTCCCCCGAAGAATCTCGGGCGTTTAATTAAGCGGGGAAAAAGTTGCGTACATACGTTTTCGAGCGACGCTGCCGTCGGGCGCCGATGCACTTTATTAGCCCCGGTTTTTAAAATACCAGGTCGTACGTTCACCCCCGGCATGCTTCAAGAACAATTACACATTTCCACAGTTCCTTTTTAATTTTTCACCGATGTTTCCCCGCGATGTTCTCGTTAGTCCACTGTCCGCGTTTCCCTCTTTTCGCTCGAATTATAGATCAGGGGATTTTTGCAAAAATTGTACGTATCTAGAAAATTACCATAATTTTTCGTAGCCTCGTTCATTAAAACGTAATTAGAGGCGACAGAGATATTTATACTATTTTTTTTAGAAACTGTACTACGGACAAAGAATAAACGTCGAATGTATTAACGATTAAACACTCCATGTTGACCTGATAATTTTTTCAGTTCACATTAACTTCTACGAATATTTTAGCATAATTTTGCCGTTACTACGATCTCGAAAATATTAGAGGTTTCACGGTGTAATGTAAAAGAACGGCCGATAATTTTAATTAAACGTGACGCGAGTTGTAGCTCGCTGGGCTGTATTTCGTTTAACTATTTTCTCTTATATCGCCAGTAAACGTACGTATGTTCCGCGGCGAGGTAAAAAGTACGCGGGCCATTGGGAAAGTTTCGAAGCGTGAGGAGCGCTGCGAGCCCGCTTCTCCGTTTCGCAGCGTGTCCTCTCAATTGAATACAGTTTTACGGCCTCTCCAGTCGAGTGCCGGGCCCGGGTTCGATAAAATTCAGTCGCAGACCCGGAACGGGATGATTCGGAAATAGTGCCGCGGAAAACAGCTAAACGTGTAAATCCCAGAAAATTTAAGAGACAATTGAACGCGGCGAACGACGATAGCTTAACTTCGCACTTTCCGTGCTACTTCAGCTGCCTGAGATCGTAACCTACCACTCTCTGTAATGTCATTAACTTAGTGCAAAACTGTGTAACACCGAACTCCTAATGTTATTTTCTAATCCTCCGGACAGAGCGCGAAATTATATTTCTTCCGAGTTTTCATTAGCTTTATAAAAGTCAGACTTAATTCGTATTCTAAAAAATGTTTTATCTCTGCTCTCCCCTTTATGTCTTAAATCTTGTTTCTCTCGCTTGCTTTAAAATTCGCCCTCAGGCGGCGCGGACCCGGAAAGAATGGCACCACCGAGGGTTGAACAGTACTTGGCGGAGCTATTTTGTGGCTCGAACGTGACGATGCAGGTGGTGTGCGACCAGGAAACGCTTCTCCAAGAATACCCACTGTTCGCGTGCGTGAACCGAGCCGCCTCTATGATACCTCGGCACGCCGGCAGGATTATCTTCCTGACCTATGAGCCGCCTAATCCCGCCTGTATCCTGGAAACGGTGATGCTCGTGGGAAAGGGTGTCACTTACGACACCGGCGGCGTAGACATCAAGACCAAAGGCAACATGTTCGGCATGTCCAGAGACAAATGCGGCGCCGCGGCCTGCATCGGATTCATGCAGGTCATAAATTAAATTATACCTTTGAGGGGGTAAACTCCGATAGTTACGTAATAAGCTAGCAAGCACGGCAAAAACCATCAGAATTTTACCGACGCGTGTTAGAGAAATGACGTGACTATCATAGCTTCTTAATCTGATCTCTAGAAACAACAATAATTATCCTTGTTTCATTTCGGACCGAATTACCGGGAAACTTCACGTCGCAGCGATACGGTTTTATATTACGAGAGAGTCTAATTCAAATATTAAACATTTTTAATGCAATCAGTGAAACGCAGGGACAAGCTTTCCCAACTGTAAATTATTATATGGACGCAGAGGGGATTTAACGTTGTGCCATTCCGTTCGCAACGATTAACCTCGGCGATTCGGTCGACGTGATCGTGCGATCGGATTTCCGTGATAACGTTTATCGTGGACTCCCTGCGGGAATAAGTATTCGGAAGATGATTCTATGGGAAATCGCGCGATCTATTCCGGGGAATAGGATTCTCGATCGAAGACACCGGGGAAAGGAAATTCGTGTTTTCAGGTGGTAAATTTACTGCAACCGCCGACTGTGAAAGCGGTGGCGGCTTTGTGCGTGGTGAGGAACAGCACCGGGGAGAATGCGTTCGTCTCCGACGAGGTGATCACCGCGAAATCCGGGGTGAGGGTACGTGTCGGGAATACGGACTCCGAGGGTCGTCTGGCGATGGCCGATGCCCTCTGTCACATGAAAGAAATGGCCCTATGCTCGGTTAATCCGCACATATTCACCGTGGCGACGCTCACGCCTCACGCGATATTCACCGTCGGCCGTGGATACTCGGTAAGCCATTCATCTTTATCAATGCGCGCATCTGTTGAATAAATAATAAAATATCGCAAATATTCCATTGCAATTTGACAAACGAACGGGCTGCGAATTCACGCGAGGCACAAAATTTTTCAACACGAAAAACGACACACAATTCCTTTCAAACGTTGAATAAACATATTACACAGTTTAAATACGAAAATATTTTATCAGAATTGGTTTTCTCTGTCATTTTTTTAAAACTGCGAAATGTTTTCCTCCCCCAAATAAACCGAACGTACATTTGACTTTTCAACAAAAACTATAAAAGGTACAACAAATTGTAACATCAAAGTGAAATTCAAAGACAATTACGGTGCACTTATATAGCTAAAAAAATTACGTTTAACTTTACGAGACGATATCTCTGAGACTAAAGCTCGGATCGAGGGATCGAGATGAAATTGTGTTTCAGAGAGAAGTTCCTTCGGCGATTATAAACGGGAACTTCATTTTATTAAACTCAGATATTACAATGTTATAAATAATTGAATTTTTATAATTTCTCATAGGATTTCGATGTCATGTTACATATTACATATCGAAAGAAAAATTCATTTCTGCTTTTAACAACTATATCTCCGGAACTAAAACCCGTATCAGGATAAATCAAACGGCATTTTAAAAAGAGGGCTTTACCTCTTCTAACCGCAAAAGTTTCATTCCATAGCTTTTTTTATTGAAGAGATAAAGTGGATAGAAATTTCGTACTTTTTAATAGACTTTAGTATGAAGAATTCATCTAAGTGGAAATTAACAGACTTTAATATGAGGAATTCATCTAACTGGAAACTATTAGACTTTAATACGAAGAATTCATCTAACTGGAAATTATTAGACTTTAGTACGAAGAATTTGTGAAACTGAAAATTATATTTTCAAAGTTGATAACTCGTCCAAGGGCTCGTAATGCACATTATATCCACGCTAGAGTACTGTATTATTTACAGGAACGAATCTCTGTCTATTTAAACTTTGTGTCTGTCGTCGTACTTATAAATACACGAACTCGCGAAGATATCCGCGGTTTAATTACGAACTCGGTACCCAACTCTGCTGTTACTTAATTGGGAAAATAACCGTGTATTTACGTTCTTAGATCGTTTTGGACAACGCTGTTGCACGGTTAGTCAGCAACGCGGAGAAACTTCAGGCGTCTGGAGAAACGATGGGCGATCCGTTCGAGATATCGAGGATACGTAGGGAGGATTTCTACTTCCACGAGGGCCGAACAGAAGGCGATGATATATTCCAGTCGAGTTGCAAACCGACCACCTCGATACACAGGGGTCACCAGGGTCCATCGGCTTTCCTGATCATGGCCTCTGGCTTGGACAAGGTACGTACATACTTCACCTTTATTTCCCTTTGATACATTTGTTCCGACGAGGTTTACATGATCGAGACTTGAAAGGAATTAGAAGCCGGTCGTTTTGAAAAGGATAGTCGATCCGAGACACAGTATTGTTGCTGTTGGATGTCACCGTTGGCGATTTTCCCGATCCGACAACAGGTGCTCCAATTCTGACGCTGGCTAGGCGATCCCTCTTTCCTGACGGGCGACATCGAGAAAACTGACCACCTACACCTACCCGTCGGAATTTATATTCGCATTTAGCTCTCCGAGATTCCCCGTTGAAAACCAGGCACATACTCCTGACTCTGAGAACAATGTTTTCGAAAACCAGCTCTCCATTAACTATCGTCGAGTTCGTGTTTATCTGCAAGTTAGTTTCATATTTTACAAAGTCGACATCGACAACAGATGCAGCAGCAGTATCTTTGTCTTATTGAAATTGACATTTAATGTCTATGTAAGTAAACGTCGACTTGAGAATCGTTAAAGTATGATATATTCAACAGCTTCCAGTCATTGTCAAAGAACAACATCCTTTTGCGACGGTAGGCTTATACGCGAGGACACCGCGAACGCGGCATTCCGTACCAACAATGGCGGGATGAATTTTTTATAGGCAATCAGCTTAACATAAGTACCGCGAGAAGGCATTAATAGCAGATTAAAAAGCTTTTCCATTACAATGACGTTTAAAGCCTCATTTAGCCGGCCTCCATCCCCTCCGGGCGCCGCGCTTCGACCATCCTTTCCTCACTCCCTCACTCGTATCGATTGCAGCACGGAGCCTGTAGCTGTTCGCCCTTAAAATACACGCACATCGACCTGTTCGGACATCTGCCTGATCCTCACGAGCTGCCCTACAGCGGCAATCCCGTCCTAGCCCTCGCTTACTGTTACCTAATCCAGGGGAAGTGCCTCACCGTCAGGAACGATCTGCCCTTCGAGATGCAATACGTTTGCGAGGTCGATTGCAAGCCCGTCTGCCTTCAACCGTGTCAGCCCTGTTTACCGTGTCCCAACACTTGCTCCACCGCCGTTACCTGCGCCTGTTGCCCGCCCTGTCAACCCTGCGATCCCTGCTGTCCCACGGCTTGCGCCCCCGCGTGCCCACCCTGCGGAGAGAATGTTACCCTCGTTCAGCCCGCCTGCAGGCCGAACGTTCCAAAAGACGTTTGCGGTTGAATATTTTCTTTTTATTGTTATTTTGTTTTAGACCACTATTTTTAATCAAGTTTTGTGAAGTCCTTTTATTTATGTATAATAAATTGTGCTTTTTTTGGATGAATCTTTTTCAATTGTACAGAGTTCTGTAGACAGAGAATTTCGTTACTGGCTGCTGGTAAAAAGGAGATCTGTAACCTGATATCTGAGTTTCTAACAGCTATGTACCATTTGCCAGCTATGTACCTACAGCTAGAAAAAATGTCTTAGCAGCGAGTAAAGTAAATTTCTAATGCGTTCGAATTATGAAGGGAAAAAAATTATACAGAAACCTACCATAGCGTAACGAAAACAGTAATGCGAAATTTATTTCACGAATTTATTTATAAATATAGAATGAATTTATTTGTAGATAAATATTTATTCAGTCCGTCAGGCATTCATTCTCATAAAGGAACGATATAAAAAAAATAAGACGAGCGATCTTTAAATACGAGTTCGTGATTTATGACGATTATAATACAACTTATCACTGATTCAGCCATGAATCGCTGGAAAGCTACAAGTCAGAAATCGCCGATCTTTCCAAGCGGTGAATCGCGGCCGTCCCATGACAAATGTTCGCGCGTTGCAACGCGGGACAGACGGCGATAACGCGCACCGGTATTATTCAGGTGAGCCTCACCTATCGGGAAGTCGATCGACCGTCGCTGATAAAACGAACAAGCACGTACTACAAGCACCGTGTCCACGAACGCATTGTCTAGTTTGATTGCTAAATTAACGCGCATCGTCGCCGGACAGCGCCTTACCGTTACCCGAGATCCCCCGACCCTAAATAATAAACAATTCCTGCATGTATTCATGCAGTTGACGAATAATCGTCAAGCAGGATGAAAGAGGAAGTATAATAAGGAATGATCGTTGGGACGATGTGGGATTGAAACTGAGATAGTTTCGACGCTCTAGCTTAAACGACGAAGTCATCGTTCGAAGTCGCTGAACGAAGAAGATTGTTTTGACGAAGAGGCGCGAGGTTGGAACGAGAAGGGAGAACGAAGATGGAAGGGAACTTAATTACGGCTACGTCCTTTCTTAATTAAGAGAAAATGTTTGGCGTATCTCGGCAAGATTACCGTGTACGAGCCAAGCTTCCGTTTGCGCGTAGCTGCCTCGCCTGTTCTCTCACGATCGAAAACCCGATCCAAAACTAATTCCACACCATTCTTTCCGCGCGCACGACCTCGCGTGTCTCTGTTCCCCTTTTCGTCGATTCGATTCATCGACCGCCTCTGCGGTGAGCGTACCCTCTGTCTCTACGCTCGAGACAATTATCCCTATTACCGGACCGATCCGTGTTCATTCTCACCGTTGAAGTCGCGCGGGGCGAGGGAGACACGCGAAAGACGCATCTCCTCCGGCTAGCATACAGCCTCGAGCCGGTAAACATGGTGGCAGCGGTGCCGCGGTGGCCGGTGGCATTATCGCCGTCGTTCCGCGCCGCGCCGGTTGACATTGTTTGAAGAGCTCCGTGGCAAGAGAGTAAGTATGTACTCGGTCGTCGTCGCGCGTAGAGTTAGGAAAGGTTTCGTCTGAGGGGCGGAAGAGGCCGGCGACGGGGGCGAGTGAGGCGATTCTGCACAGGGAGGTCGAACGAAACGAGGGACAGAGACGAGGAGCAGCCGAGAGGTGCTGGACGTAAAGAAAGAAGAGCGCGAGACAGAGAGAACGCGAGGAAAAGGAGGGGTAGGGGGTGGTAGGGGGCAGTGTGGCGGGTTCGACGGCCGGCTGGTGGCCCAGTGACCGGGACCGGTTCCCTCCGCGGTTCCTCCTTCCGCCTTCCTTGCAAACGCACAACTGCATCATCTCGACTCACCTCCGTGGTCTCTCTCTCCTCTTTCCTCGCTCCTCTTCGTCGACCCGCTTCCATGCTCGCCGGCCAGCCTTCCCTCGCTTCGGTCTCTTCCTCTGCATCTTCCTTCGCGCTCGTTCCTCTCGCCGCGCCGAGCCCGCGTCCCTCTTTTTCGCTCCCTCGCATCTGTCTCTCTCCGTCCCGTCGTCGTTCCTTCCTTCTTCGACGCGTCCGTCCACCTCCTCATCTTTTTCCTCCCGTTCTCCTTCGTCTTCTTTATCAGCGGCTCTGTTCTTGTTGTTGTTGCTGCTGCTGCTGCTGGCACTGACGTCAACGTCCTCGGCGTCTACGTCGATCACGCGAAAGCGCCGCCACACGCGCGAAACGTCCCGGGACTCCTTCTTCGTCTTCCCTCTTTCACACCGTGACCCCTCGTACTCTTCGTTCTCCTTTGGCTACTATAATGGCAGAGAGTATTTTGTTCCCTTCTCCGTTTCTCCTTGGCCGGGTTCTGTAGCTACGGCAGCTGGTCTGTTCTCACCCTTGCTGATCACGCCGGCCGGCCCGCAGACTGCACCGCCGTCGCCGCCGCCGTTCCTCTCCGCGAGCGACGAGCACGCGAAGAGGTCACGACACGCGCGAGTTCCCTCTTTCATTCTACCTCCTTCCTCGCTCCCTCAGTGATCGAGCGGCAATAGCCGGACCGGACGCGACTGTTTATCCCACGCATTCCCACCGAGCGCCGGAATCGCGGCCCCGCGAAAGGGCGCTAAACGAAACGACACGATTATCCTCGGATGCTCGTGACGCGGGCACGGTCGGGCGCCCTCAGTCAAGGGCTTGAAAGGAAAAGTAGTTCTATGTCGAAGAGGGAGACGGGGCGACGCGGGGCGAAAGAGAAAGAGGCGAACGCCGGTGGAAGGTGAGAAAGAGGCCGAGGAAGAGGGAACGAGAGCCCGAGGGGGAAAGGAAGTGAAAGTACGAGAAGGCTGCTGCTGGTTACTGGCGCATCCGAGATTTCGTGCTGTCGTTCCTCTTTCGTCTCCTCAACTTCTTCTCTCGTTCGCGTCCGCCCGTGCTCTCCGACTCGTGTATGCAGCGCCGATAATTTGTCGGTTCGCTCGTAACGAGCTGAGAAACCAGGAAGAGCCGGGCCGCGCGGGAGGAAGGAAGAATCGGTGCACGCACTCGCTCGCTCGTCGAGCCGAACGACGCGATGCGGGCGTGTATGCATGTATGTACGATACCCGTCCGCGTTCGTATACGCTTCTATGGGAAGGAAAGTGATTTTCTTCGTCGAAGCACGCTGACCCCGAGAACAACGCAACGGCAGCCGGAAATCGGAATTATGCAACGATCCTCGCTCGTTTCTTATACTCTTCGTTCGTTTCCTCGTCGCGCCGAACTGACCCTGATGCGATGGTCAGCCGCTTCTTGCAACACCGGCCGTATCAATTATCGTCTATTCATCGGCTGTGTCCCGTGGAGGCGGGATCGATTCCCTCGCGTACCGTAAAACCATTTCACGTTCTTCCAAGTCACTTCTTTAAGATCATTTTTTTATAGCGTAATTAAAATTTATAATTGATATTGTCATCCCAGAGGCTAATTCGTTTCATTCGATCCTATATATTTTCTGCTGAAGTGAAAACGAAGCTACTGTGTATTTGCTCGGAAACATTTTACAACGAATTAATATTTCGCATCCGTTGCGGGGATTCCAAGTTCCTCGGCAATAAATTGTCACGGTTGAAGTTGCCCGTAGCAAAAGTGAATCGTAGGGATATCGCTGATGAACAAACCCCGGAGCCCATTGTTCCGGCGTGTGTGTGTCTCTTCCCAAGCCCTAGTGGATACGAGAGCGCGATTATTACTTTTCAAAGTGCGCGCGTGTAACGAATTCGAATGTACTCTTCCTCAGGCTTCCCCGTCGGATTTCCAGCGTTACCAAGTTCGCACGAGGAATGCCCGCGCGCTTATCCCATTCCCAAACGACGGAACCCCACGAATGAATTATCATTCGAGACAATAAAATCATGGTTTAATTAAAATTAATTTCATTCCGCGTACCCAAATTATTCGAAGGAAACGTAACGACGCGTTTCATTAGGGAAGTTGTCGCTTTAAATAGCGATTATTACAGCTAACGCTTATCTTCTAATTCTCTCGAGCCTACAGTTTTACTTGCTGTTTTGCATGTGTAAGAATCGCCACGTACGAAAGATTCTAAATTATTTTAACATGGGAGAACACCAGGAATTGGCATAGGTGGGAACCGAATCTCGTGGCCTAAAAAAACTAACAGGACTGTGGACCAATGACAGGGTCTTCGTAAACGGGCTCTCGAAGTAGGTGAGCCAGCGACCGGGCAGAAAAGAATCGAGCTGGATCGCCGTGCGGACTATTCGTGGGCAACGCGTTAACGGTAAATTCCCTTGGCCGAATCTGCTACTAGCTTCCTCGAATTTATTTTCGGCCTCCTTTCTCGATCTTTACTCCAATAAAGGAGGCCAGGACCGATTCGTGGAAAGTCTCTGTGGCTCCTGCCACGAGGAGTCGCGTCGCGACAGGTCGGCCCTCGAGAAAGTCACGGGACCACGTCGAAAATTCCTGTGCCAAACGGGACGTGACGCGAATCTCGTTTGGCCATCCACCGTGTAGCTTAGAATCGACTCGCTTGGAAGCCGAATCGATCAGGTTGATCGAACTTGATCACTCGTCGAGGGAAACGAGTTAGAGAAGGAAACAATTGTGTCATCATCCACTCGGAGAATTCATGAGATCGGCTATCGTTTGGCATGTAATTCCCGCGTCGGTTCAAGGCAGTTGCATTAGAAACTGACTCGTAATTAGTAGATATCCTGGCAGCCGTGATTCTTATAAACCTGTATCGAGAGCCGGATATGTTGCACGGCAAATGGGAAAGCAGCCCGGTTACACGGATCCTGTCAGCCTGAACGCGCATTAACCGAGGAAATTATCATAGGGAAGCTGGTCGCTGACAAGAGAGATCGCGGAACGCCAAACGTCGACTCGATCGGCATCTCGTGAACCTTGAGAAGATCGATTGGGTAGCCGAGTCGTTGGTCAGAGAATTTAGGCAATTAATTTTCCACCTGGCCGAATTCGACTAGCCGGTATTGAATTCATCCGCTTTAATCGCCGCTCA